CTCTCTCTCTCTCTCTCTCTCTCTCTCTCTCACACACACACACACACACGCACACACACACACACACACTAGAGAGAATATTATTAATATAATACATAAAATATCTCAATATCAAATAATATATTTTATCATATAAAAATCTATAAACAATATTATATAAACAACATGTATCCTATAATAAAAAAACTATAAAAAAAATAAAAGAAAATAAAAGAAAATAAAAGAAAATAACTAAAAAAAAAAAAAAAAAAAAAGAGTCTTATGGATTGATAAAAAAATTACTAAATCAGAAGAAAAAAAAATGATAGAAAGGCACTTTCAAGTCAAAGTTATACATATACACACACCCTCTCTCTCTCTCTTTTCTCGCGCACACAGAGAGGCTCGCAGAGTACGGACAGGGGAAAGTTATAACAACTACAATAATTTGAGTTAAGACCCGGAAGTGACAACAGGCTCCAGTAAGACCAACCTGCCACTGTCTTGGTCACAGACACTGTGATTGCTGGTGAAGTCATGGCATCCGCCACTTTCAATGGTCCCTGCACAACAAGATGGCCAATAGAATTATCCCAAGTTTTCCACACAATAAAACAAGTGAAAAAGCCCAAGTTTTCCACAAAAAACAAGCGAAAAAGGCAGTCACTCCAATCCATACAGCACAGATTATATATATGCAAAATCACTAAAGCTTTCACAATGGGTAATTTACTAATTTCATTAAACATCAAGTGTAGATAAAGTCTGATAAACAGATCACGAGTTCAAATCTGATGGATACCGAAATGTCAGAGGGGCTACTCGCCTTCTTTATGGCAGACCGCCAAAGTAAACAGCAAATTATACAGAACAGAATCACTGCTCAAAATGGGGCCAAGTACAGGGACAATGCACCTGATGGGAATAACGATTGTTGTCACAGTAAAGACCACAACATTGAGAGTGCAGTGCACAACCCCCTCCTGGCGCCCACACACTCCCCCCACTCCCACCCCCAAAACCTGCGAAATGCATACCTGAAAGTCAAAAACCCAAACATTCTATTTTGGCCCCAGCCCAAAATAGATCAATCCAGCCCAAAATAGAACAATCCGTAACAACAGGTACTTATAACTGTGTGTGCATTCCCAAAAAAAAAAAAAAAAAAAAAACTGTGTGCAATGACGAAATGCATACCTGAAAGTCAAAAAAGTTAAAAACCCAAACTCGGATCTGCACGCTGCACTTCTGTGACACATAAGCTGTGCACGAACACTAACCTTTGTGCACATAATGTTTTTCCGCCGATAATCTGCATGATTGATCATCTACACTTCATTTTTTCAGCCACCCAAGTGCGCACTGTTGCAGGCAGGCTCCCTATTGCACTACTGGTGGACTTTCCGCCAAAGGTATCTTTACAGGAAAGGCCAAGGCCGCAGACTTCCATCCCCACCCTACAAACACTAGAAACACCATTGTATGCACTTCACAGCGCAGGGCACTGACATACAGAGTGAGAGAGAGGAGTGAACAGGAGACTGGGATACACCACCTCGCACACCTCACCAACCGAAAAGACAATGCATCCTTTTTCCTTCGTGAACACAGAAATGAGTAGAAGCATGGAGAGAAAGGGAGAGAGAGGAACATAGACAGCTGTGCCATTTCCAGTAAATGGAACCAAGAACCAAGCTCGCAGAAGAGGGCAACGGCTGACAAAAGCAAGAGAGAGAGAGAGAGAGAGAGAGAGAGAGAGAGAGAGAATAGAGATTGCACTGCTTCCCAAACTTATGCAATCAAAGCAACTGCCTTACCTGTTACAGCACGAGGAGAGGAGAGAGGAGAGAGGAGAGGAGAGAGGAGAGAGAAACAGAGAGGGAATGACCGATTACATACCTTCCCAAGTAAAGCAACCACGTCTCTTTTTGTGACAACACCCACACACTTCATGTCTGAATTGACAACAGGAAGACCTGTCAGTTCCTCAAATTTCGGTAGCACATCGTCCAAATTGTCCTGATCCTGGACCGTTTTCACAGCAGTCTTCATAATATCTGCCACAGTGGATGAAGGGTCATGCTGCACCGCCAAAAAATAGTCCATTCGATTGACCAACAAGCAAACCGCCAATGATCGTTCAGCTCAATCGATCGTCTACAAATATCAGGCTCAAATGGCAGACATGAATAAATGAAAGCCAAATTTCCAAAACCCTAAAATCCTGGAGCCAACAATCGTCATCATCAACACCGTAACACGGAATCTTTACATCTTTTTTTTTATATTAATATGGACCATTTCTCGATTTATGTGTGTCATCCTCGCACAGGGGCCATGCAAATCTAAGTATTCTTCATTCTCTGTATCGTTCCAATTCTCACAGATGTCCAGAAGGACTGTAACTCTGAATCTCAACTATGTTACCATCCAGATTCAGTCAGTCTGTTTGCACATTGAGACCACCACTTCCTTTCACAGGCCAACTCGAAACCTCCTAAGATTGCAGCATTATAACCTATACCACATTCTTCAGAGGCCGGGCGCCACCAGACCAGCAAAGCTGCCAGCACTACCATCTTCACCCAAATAGAACACCCGGTAATTATTGCTGCATCTGGACAGAAAATGGCCCCAAGTACAGCTATGATGACCGGGCAGGCGTTATATTTCGGGTGAAGACGGTAGCCAAAACATCAAAGAAAAAGTCACTTTGGAATCTATATTCATTTTGTCTTTTTCAAGTTTTTTTAAATACATCCGCTATTGCGACATTACTTCACCAGAATCACCACGAGATAGATATTCAAGTCTGCATTCTATTCACCTTCCGATGTTTCACCAACGGAGGGGAAGGGAGGGAGGAGGAGGCGGAATTACTTTTTGTTATCATCTTTCAGTCACTAGTGGAATATTTCTGTGCCCACCGAGATAATGTCAAATCCAGACACCTTTTTTATTTTTTGTTTTGGTCTTCCAATGTTTCAGGTTTGGGTTAGATTGGGTTGGGTTGGATTGCTTTTTTTCGGGGGGGGGGGRGGRGGGAGGGGGGAGAGCGGAATCGGGATTTAGAAAATTCCTAAAAGGGTGTACCTTACTCTTCTTGCGAGACCACACAGGTGCACTGTTTTTGAGCTAAGACAGCACACGAACCTGGTCAGGTTTTACAACCAGGTTCAGGCTTTCTGACAGCAGTAGTAGGAGTGGAGTAGCAGTGGGTCTCTAGGTCCCAAACATCGCACAAGTGGAGACTTGCATTTAGGGTCACACTGGTATCGCATTCTGTACCAGGAAAGAAAGAAAAAAGGAACCTGCATGACAAAACGTGGCCAGGTTCAGGTAACCTTAAGCCACCGCCTTCCCCGATGCTCTCCACGGTTCACAGCTGCGTACACACTGACCAGAGGTGGGCAGGTGGCAGCCAGCTGTCCACTGATTTCTGTCATCAACCCATGACATGACCCCTCCAGCCAGTAGCAGCCAGCACCCTCCGCATTTCCGAAGCCCCTCCACCAACTGAGGTTCTGAAATCACAGCCGCATGCACACTTACCATAGCTGCCCACGTGGCAGCCTGCAAGCCACTGATTTCCGTCATCCACCTGTGACCCCCCCAGCCACTGACAGCCAGCACCCTTCGCATTTGCAAACTCCCCCCAGCCGCTGAGGTTCCTGCAACCCCTGCGGTTCAGTGGCTCACTCAGCTCTTCAAACTCGCCATCAGTAAAGGTCCTCAAGAACCTGCCCGACCTTCTGCACCAGGTCCATGCTCAACATATGTTATCAACACACACCATAACTACTACGTACCAAATCCTTCGCCCAAGCAAAATCTGTCTTAAACAAGACCCCCCCTCCACCACCCACTTTCTCCCCAAAGCCTGAGGTCAATAGGCCACCCCTCCAACACAACAGGTCCGGGGATCCTGCCTGCATTCCATCGCAGGAAATCAGCCGCACATCCTCCGCCAGATCGAACCGTTCCTCGCAGGTAATAAGCCGCACACCCTCTGCCGAATCGTGCCGTCTTGAACAAAAACCATCTTCCGTATATTTTAGACTCAAAACCACACCACTCAACAGCATCCAAAAGACAAAATTACGGGCGTGCATCTTTCCATGTCCTGGAGGAAGATTCATTCTCAATTTGCACAGTTGATGTCGGCGGAGCGAGCCTCATAAGGCGCTTTATCGCAACTTCTCGAGCTAGTAGATTCTGTACAAAAAATGTCTCCACAGAGACTCGAGATCCCACTGGCCCTAGTCCCCTCGTCTGAGAAACAGTCCACGGTCCATACTGGAACGCACAGTCATTATAGCTGAATTTGGGGTATCTTTCAGTCTAAACACAGCTATAATGACCGTACATTGTATTCGGGAGAAGAAGGTAGGCTTTTTCTACTTCACACTAGGCTTTCTCTACTTCTCTGTGGACGTAAAACAGTCAGGTGCATCCCGACCGGATCAGAAAAGCTGTCACATACATTCTGGAAAGTCCTAGTGTGAGTATTCCCTCAGTCTCTAGAACAGTTTTGCAAGGAAAATGAGCAACAGATAAACGACAGAATTCCAGATCGCAAAATCACATTGAAAGCCAGATGGTTGAAAGCCATCCAGAACGCAGAAATACACTGATATTACACCGAAGGGGAAGTTCAAAAAGCAGCAAACTCAATAAATCCAGAAAGCATCATCTGGCCAATCGCCAACGACGTAACCGAAAGCTCTTCCCTTCCTCCTACTTCGTGCTCAGCACCCAGACTACAATCACACAGCTACTCTACTGGCCTATGAATGACGAAGCAACCAGTTGCCGTCAGCAGCAGCAACAAAAGTACATGCAGATGTCGACCATGCAGACCTCTGTCAGGACCAGGTACGTGGCCTCACATCACCTCCTCTCGCCTTCTTACCAGGCTCACCCTCGTCTTCTCGCGCACGTCCTACCACCACCAACACCCACTGACCATCCAAGCTCAAGCCCGGCTGTGGGTGCTGGGCTATTTATGGCCCTGCCTGCTTGCAGCACCCTCGCTTGCGACCGTGCTCCCCCCTCCCCTCAAACTCCACCTTGCTCCACTGCATTGTTCCTTATCTTTTGTTTCTGCGCTCGCTTTCTTTCTTTCTTTCTTTCTTTCTTTCTTTCTTTCTTTCTTTCTTTCTTTCGTTTGTTCTTTCTTTCTTTCTTTCATTTGTTCTTTTTTTCTTTCTTTCTTTCTTTCTTCGTTTGTTTGTTTCCTCTAACCTTACAATATAGCTGATTCTGTCTGGATTCAAACTCATGTTCTATTCCCTAATAGTTACATGTGTGCACCATCAGACACCTGCCTCCGTCACGATTCTAACTCACGCTCTGTGCACCAAGAGTTATGGGTCTCAGCCTGATTTCATCCCGATGCGAACTCACCCGCTGTTATGAAACAGTTGCATGTGTACCATTCAGACACATGCCTCTTCCAAATTCTAACTCGTCGCACGCTGTGTTAACAGTTACATCTGTGTACCTTTCAGCAACATATGGCCCCCCTCCCCACCTGAAGGCTGAGCCCTTCAATCGAATATTCCTCACCCTCCGTTATCAAACAGGTACATGTGTACCATTCAGAAACCTGCTGCCTGCATCAGGATTCGAACCCGCGCTCCGTGCGTTCACAGTTACACCTTTTTGTAGCTTCAGCAACATGCGCCCCCCTGTACTCACTGCATTGTCACGACCCCGCCTGAAGGCTGAGCCCTTCGGTCTGCAGTATCCTCATGCTCAGTGGCAGCAAGGTCCAACTTACACAGATAGCGAGACATAGGGCCTTGATCCCCCTATAGACAACACTACATGCATCTGGACATTCTTGACCAGATACATACAAAATGCCAGACTCGTCAGGTCCAGAAAGCATCAAAATGCATGTAGAGTTTGTGCAGTAGAGCGAAAAACAGTCGCTTAAACGAGGACAGATCAACGGCCAAGGTCTCTCGACGCTCGACGTTGCTCTGCAAAGGCGAAAAAAACAGAAGAAACAAGAAAAACAATTCGTTTTTTTTATCTTCTTTCTTACAACTCCCCCTGTTCAGAACCTCTTGCGTACAATGCCCACGTGGATGTAGGTTGAGCGGCGGCTGCCCCAACCCCTGATGAGTCAGTCGGTGAAACTCCGACGACGAAACAGTCTGTCACAGCCCCTCGTTTGATGTCCTCTTCTCCCTCCCTCTCTGCCTGCCTACGGTTTACCGGGCAGCTCTGTTTGACTATATATATTGTCACACTGTGAATCGGAGCGCAAAGGCGGAAAAAAGCAAAACAAAGGAAAGAAAAAAAGTCAGGAAGGAAAGCCCCACCTGTTCATCACCTCCTACGTACAAGGCCAGCCACGTGGATGACAGGTTGAGCGCTGGCTGCCCCCATCCCCGTGTGTCACAAGGACCCACTTGCACGCAGCCAAACCGTGTGTCACAAGGACCCACTTGCACGCAGCCAAAAGGCAAAGAGGTAAAGAAAAGGAGGAAACCAAACCTGACAGGGAAAGAAAGATAATCCAATTGTCACAAAGCAAATAACACATCCCACAGATCAACATATCTTTTTTTTCTTTTTTTCTTTTTCTTTTCTTCTCTTTTTTCCTTTTTTTCTCTTTTTCTTTTCTGTTTTCATTACCTGTTCCCACCTCGGCAGATAGGACAGCTACGGTGAGGATGATGTGGATGTTCACAAGGATGCCCAAGGAGAGCTGCGCCAGCACAGCATTCAGCAGGACGGCTAGCACGAACCATCCCATCAAAACAGTCCTGACAGAGGACATGTTGYCCACATGTCAAAAAMACAGCAGGACGTTCATCACAGTGCGGCATCATACAGTTCTGATAGCGTCCTTGGGCACAAAAGGGACAACGTATATCTGGGTGATAGGGATGTGTACAATGAGGAAATGCTGGACACCCTTCAGAACAGAGCGGCAGTCGCAATAGATTGATTATGGCTATGGCATAGATGATGCATTCCACAGCCAAGGCGCACCGCGTCTCTGTCCCGACAGGTGTCACACGAGAGTCGGTCAATAATCCAGAATAAAGTATGATTCGACAATGCTC